CTGAATTTATACTCTTTCTTTATTTACACTACTTTTTCTCCTAGTTATTGATGACGTTTCTCATTTGTTTTTATTAGATGCAGGTGTTTTCTGCACTTCAGCTGGGAGCACTTTCCCTTTTCAGCCAATTTCAGATCTACTTTGTGTCTCAGTCACCTTTTGACTGTGATACTGGAGAGGCAGAAAAAGAGAGAAGGAGATACCGAGTTTTGCTGCCTCAGCAGATGTGTGTTAAAGTGTTTTAGTGATTCAGCCAGTGTGTCTGCCTGAGGCCAAAGGAGAGGCATTGTCTGAATCTAAAACAATTAATAACAAAAAAACAATGTGGGCAGCATGAAGCGGGGGGAAGGTGGAGGTGGAAAGCGAGTGAATCACATGGATATTTCCAGCTTGCAGAGCACCTTGACAAGATCTCCAGCCACTTACAAAGACAGCCCTTTAAGTTCATCCTGTCGCCTCTGAGACACAAAAGCCTCAGCAGCCCTGTTGCAGAGATAAGGGAAATAGAGATAGAACTCATCCCCAGTCATCGAGCACCTCTCCCCAGAGCCAGACTGCACTTTTCCAATGCCCCAGGGAAGCAGGTACATTTGTGGCGCCATGGCCATGGCATGCATGGCCAGTGGGGCAGGAGACTCACAGCCCTGCTGGTGCTGGGCCATGCACGGTGCTGCGAGGGGCACTGAACTGCTCACCCCACACTCAGGTCCTTGAGAGCCACCAGCAACACAATGACCTCTGCTCTGGCCAGGAAGGTGCAAAGGGGAACCTCTGTTGTCTGCTCATGATGAAACATCTGTCTTTTCCCTGTTAGCAGAAGAAATTAATTTTGTCTGTGCTCAGGCAAGAGGAATTTGTCCCCTGAGCTATTTCTGCCTCTATCATTTAAACATCCAGTATAGCCTTTTTGCTTCACTCCTCATGAAAGTCTCTGAGGAATGACCTACGGATGCCCAGGATCTGGTGTCCCTTGCTTACTGAATCCCCCCACTTTGCACCCCAAGCTGACCCGTGTGGGCCACTGGGAGGTGGAGGCACCCCAGTCACCACTGGAAATCTTGGCAGCTGAGCCCTGGTAATGTGAAACAGAGCCAACACGGCCCCGCAGAACACCCAGGCGCTGATCTGGTGGGGGGAGACTCCATTTCTACATGCGGTTTAAAATTGATACCCCCATGAGGCATGTTAGAAAGCAAAACATTGATGCTGTCTTCACTGGAAGCATGGGTTGCTTTGTTTTTTTAATGACACAGAAAGCTGCTTGCAAAGAGATAATTTCATTCAGCCTAGCCTTTGCTGGATGTGGAAGGAAGTCCTTAGAGGTGACTCTCCAACGTATCCAGTATGCCACCTAGCCCTCGCTAGCTCTACTACATCCACTGCTGTGGGATGGGCTGCGGGATCCTGCTGGAAAGGGGCTCCCAGCACAAAGCTGTGAACACTTGTTGGGGTTATCATCGCAAGCAAGAAGGCACTGTCCAAGGGAAGAACAAATATCTTGGGAAGAAATCACATTTTACTTTTGACACTCAACGCAGTTTCCATGCAAAGTGAAATACTGTGTCAATATCTGCACCTCCTGCTGGTGTTCATCTCTCCTTTCCACACTTCTGTCTCAGACTTGTCCCATCAGTTCTACTTCTGTTGCTTGTTGGTTTTCCCTCCAAGCTTTATAGAAGTACTGGCTTTTTCTTTTTTTCAGAACGATGCTTCAGGCACCTGATTTCACAACTATTCAGTCCTTTTTAACGCTTGTTCATGAAAAAAAAAAAAAATTATACATTCTCCTGTATAAGCATTATTTTGCTAATGAGTTTCAGATCTACAAAAATCGGACAGTGGTTTTGGAGGGAGAAGAAAAAAGTATCTTACTTTTGTATCTGTCACTCAGCTCCTAATCTTTCTAGATTGCCTGAACTTTTTTTTATATTCTAAGTGCTTCCAAAACTCACAGATTAGACCAAACTGATTAAAGTATGTGTTCCATCCTCTTTATCATACCCAGGAAAGTCAGTGCTTTTGCATATTACTGAGATTATCATAATGAAGTGTAACATATCTGATATATTAAGAACACTAACTGCTTTCCAAATAATTATTTCTCTTTTTGCAGCAGAGCTATATGTAACACACAGAGCCTATAGCAATGAAATACACTAGAAGACACTAACAGAAACGTTGGTTTCCTCTGAATGCTCTCTGTTCACTCCCTCGAAATAAGAGAGCATGTCTTATAAACATAAAACATGATTGTGATCTCCCCTGGAAGAGCACAAGCCAGGAGAAATGTGATCTTTGTTAGCTGCAGGCTCTCCTACAGCTCGTGGCCAGCCATACACTGCACACTGTCCTGTGGCTGCCTTAGGTTGCCAGGGTGGTGGGCGTTTTTTGGTGTCAGCAGAAGATGCCATAAAGACAGACCTTGAGAAGAGCATGGAGAGAGCACAGACCAGGGGTCATCTGCAACTCCATCCCAACTGCTGGCCTCAGTGATTCAGTACAGGTGGCAGCCCTAAGATTCCCATAGCTGAGACTACTTTCATAAAATGGGGGAAAACCTGCCAAGAGGGTACCTCTCATGTCTAAAATATTGTCCTTTTCTGGCTGAGGCTTCAACTCAGTTTCCAGGCAAGCTTTTGTGGATGAGTGTCCTCGCAGCACAGGAGTGAAATGAGGGTGGCTGCAAGACAACTTCACGTGACCTGGGTTTTGGCCCTAGAGAAATTTCCCGGACAGCCCCAAGTTAGAGCAGCTTCCCCTGGGATCCCTCGCAGGATCTCTGCCCCGTGGCAATCCAGCCGTGCCCAAGCCTCCCATGCCAGGGCTTGCAGCTGGGCTTGATGGAGGCAGTTCTCTACATGCCTCACCATTTTGTGTCTCGCAGGTAGGAGTGGGAGTGAAACCTCTCCTCCGCCCCCCAGACCCCCCAGATACTATTAATATTGCTATTAATACGGGGCACTCTGCTTCTTACAGGGCAGATGAGAGAACGAGGAAAGCCATTTTTCTCCTGCCCTAAGCCCTCTCACAAAGTGTTTCCAGATCTCCAGGTGAACAGTGCTCACTCTCTGCCTGGTGGTATTTTCTGCAAATCACCCATTCAGACCAGTGGCAGATTCTCATAAAAAACAGTGGCAGGATGCAATTAATATGCTGTAAAAGCCTTAAGTGTCAACTGGAGAAACCATTTTAAAGCACTTCAAGATAAAACCCCTGGGGAGTGCTTTTCTTACCTTAAAGGTGCCTTTCTTTTTCTTCTTTTTTTTTTTTTTTCATTTAACTGTGATCTAAGCAGAGATTCAGGTAGTAATAAATAAAACCTCTGGAAAAAAAAACTCTTGGTAGAAAGAAAAGCAAAAAACCACCCAACCAAGCTTAGAAATGTTGTTTTCTTTTTTGAAGGGCAAGAGGTAAGAACAGGAGGAATTTGATCTTTACTACTGAGTCCACATGGGGTAGAAAGGCAATAAAACAAGGAACACCTGAAAGGTGCAAAGAAAGCCTTAAGCTGGAAATTTTGGAGAAGAAGGAGTTAATATTTTTAAGCAACCATCCGTCCTCTTACCATAGATAAGGGTGCATTCTAGTGGCAAAATCCATGCAATGCAGCTGCACAGATGACTGATCTAAAAAGAAACCTGGGGAATATGAAGCTTTGGAGGAGTGTGTGCCTGTGTGGAAGGGGGGTTGACTTGAATCACACATAAACCTCACCCAGAATTAGCTGATCCCTTTGAATTTCCCACTGCCCCGGTAGATGCCCCCGTGCTTGAGCTTCTGAGCAGACTCCCACCCCAGGTTCTGCTCACCCCCCTGCTCCAGGTGTAACCCCTGTGCACAGCTGCGGGGGCTGCACACCCCGCTTTTGGAGATTCCCTCCCCTACGCTTCCAGCTTCCTCGCTCCAAGAGATGAATGAGAACTGAGGGAGGCAAGTGAGAAGGACCAGGGCCGGGAGAACTGTAACCCTGAGGAATGCAGCGGTGGAACAAAAGACAACAAACCCCAAGCTGCCCAGGACAGGGGATGAGCACTGCAAAGTGCTTTTTTTTTTTTGCTTTTTTTTTTTTTTTTCCCCTTTCTTCTCCCTCCCCATTTTGTGCAGGGCAAGAGGCAGAAGAATGAGCTAAAACGTGCAAATTGGACTTCACATGGCAAAATTCCCCTTCTTTTTTGGCATGCCCTAAGCAACAGCGAACTTTTCCAAAGAGGAATCTAACACAGTGCTTACAAGCAGCCCAGCCCTCCCTCTGCTCACTGTCCGGCCGTGTTAACCCTTGCTGTTTAGAGGTGTCAGGGGCGCACCCCGACACAGGGCAAAGCCTCACTGCGGTTTTAAACCTCGCCCAGGGGCAGAGGGAACAGGAGAGGAGGGCTGGGCACCCTGCACACACAAAGGCTCCTTCCTGGGCCCGGGCGGGCGACAGTAGCTCGCTGGCAGGCACCCAGCCATCTCCTGCTGCGCTCACCTTGGGAGCGCACGGGCGCTGCGCGGGTCCCTGCGCGCCGCTCCCCGCACCACTCGGGGGTCCGCGCCCCACAGCGCACAGCACCTAACATCAGGCCCTGCTAACTCCATCTCCCACTTCCTCCCCAAAATCAGAGCCCTGACCTCTCCCATCCAGACTCCAGGCTGCCCTGCAACCCAACGGCAACCACTCTGCTTTTTTTTTTTTTTTTTTTTTTTTTTTTTTTTTTTTGGGGGGCTTTTACCCCCCCTTCCAGTCCTCGGCTTCCCCTTCCCCCTCCTCCTCCTCCCCTTGTCTCTCCTCATAATATTATCCTTGATCACTGCCCGGGGTTTGAAGCCCAGAAGTCAGGAGCTGCGCACCCCACCCCCACGGCCCGAGCGCGCACTGATAGGGCCCTCGCTGCTGGCACCTAGTCAAGCTGAGGTGTCATTGGGATCTCAAATTGCAGCGAGGGGCTGGCAGGCAGCCAGAGGCAGTCTATTTAAAAGACAGCCTGTTCTGCAGTATTCAGTCTCTTTAGAAACTTCTCCAGGGGAAAAGTGTTGGGAGATCTACAAAGTGGATTTTTTTTCCTCTTTTTTTTTCTTTTCCCCCTGATTTTTTACCGCTCCTCTGCCGACTTTGCAACAAAACACTCCAACTTTGCAGAAAACTTTTTTTTTTGTTTGTTTGTTTTTTTTTTGTTTTTACTCTTTTGGTCTTTTTTTTTTTCTTTGCAAATCTTGGAAGAGGAAAGCGGGAGAGTTGAACAGAGCCGATCGAAACACAACTTTGCTTCATACCAAGCTTCCCAGCAGCTCGCTGCGTCGGGAGAGACTTTTCCTCCTGCAGAAGAAGAGGGAGGGGAGGGGAGCTTTGTATCCCCTCTTCCTTCTCCTGCATTTTCTTTTCTTTCTTTTTTTTTTTTCTTCTCCTCTTGACTGCTTTGATGCATTATTAGCAGGACACTGGTTTTCAAGGAACTTTGCTCCCTTCCCAACCTGCCTCCTCCCAGCCCTTTGGGAAGAGAGTGTGTGTGTGTGCGCGTGAGTGAGCGAGTGTGTGAAATCGCCGTCCCACCTCCCCAAACACCCCTGCTCCCCCACGCCTCCCCCTGCAACCTGTAGGCTGTGCAACCCCTGCAGGCTTCGCTCCCTTTCCCCCCTCCTTCCCTCCCTCTTTTTTGCGCTCCCGCGGATCGCGGTGCGAATTCCCCCTTTCGAGGCGAGAAAAAGCTGAAAGGAGAAACGGGGAGGGGGGAAAAAAGGACAAAAAAAAGGAAATCTAGACGTCCCCCCTCTCCCAACGCCAAAAGAAAAGCAGGAGGGTCTCGCACCCCGAAAATAACCCCCAGAGTGGGGCGCCTGCAAGCAGAGGCTGCTCTTTCCTTTTTTTGAATTTTATTTTTTTAAATTCTTTCAATTTTTCTTTTAATTTTTTCCCTTTTTTTTTTTTTTTTTTTGGCCCCCGACGGGGCAAACGGAAAGCCAGCGCCGCCCGCTCCCGGCAGCCCCCCACGCCCCGTCCCGCAGCATCCCCGCCGCGATGCTGCTGCGGCTCCTGGTGCTGCTGGGCGCCTGCCCGGGGCTGTCGCGGTGCCTGGGCTCCTTCGTGCAGTGCGAGCCCTGCGATGCCAAGGCGCTGTCGCTCTGCCCGCCGTCGCCGCTGGGCTGCGAGCTGGTGAAGGAGCCGGGCTGCGGCTGCTGCCTCACCTGCGCCCTGCCCGCCGGGCAGCCCTGCGGCGTCTACACCGAGCGCTGCGCCCGCGGGCTGCGCTGCCTGCCGCGCCAGGGCGAGGAGAAGCCGCTGCACGCCCTGCTCCACGGCACCGCCGTCTGCCTCAGCGAGAAGAGCTACCGCGAGCAAGCCAAGGCCGGTGAGTGATCCCCGATCCTCCATCCGCAGCTCTCCCGGATGCTCATCCGCCTTGCCGGCTCCTTTTCCATCTTTCCGCCTGCTTTTTCCACCCCACCGCCAGCTCCCGGCTGCGTTTTCCCTCGTTCCGGGTGCTCTTCCATGACCCTCCGCTTGCTTTTCCGTCTTTCCGGCTCCCTTTCCATCTTTCCGCTTGCTTTTCTGCTCCCTCCCACTGGCTGCTCTTCCCTGCCCCCGTCGCTGCCTTCCCATCCCGCCGGCTCCTTTTCCATCTTCCCAGGTGCTGTTCCATGCCCCCACTTACTTTGCCGCCTTCCCGGCTACTTTTCCATCTTTCCGCCCGGTTTTCCATCCCCCCCTCCCCCCCTCCCCCGCCGTGTGCTTTTTCGCCTTCCCGGCTCCTCCATTCCCCTGCACAACCACCAGCTGCTTTTCCATCTTTGTGGCTACTTTTCTGCCTTTCTGTCTGACTTTTCTCTTTCTCACACACAATTACACACCCTGACTGCTGTTCCATCTTTCTAGCTGTTTCCCCATTCTCTCTCATCCCCACCCCCTCCACGAGCAACTTTTCCAAGCACCCGGTTGCTTTTCCATCTTTTCTGTCTGCTTCTTCACCACCAGCACTTCTCCCGCTGCTCTTTCACCCCCCCTATTGCTTTTCCACCTTTCCAGCTACTTTCACATCTTTCTAGATGTTCTTCCACCCACACCCACAGTTGCTTTTCCATCTTTGTGGGTACTTTTCCATCCCCCTAGCTGTTCTTCCATGCCCCCTGCCACTTTTCCCATCCTTCTTTCCATCTGTGCTCTGATCAAACCTCCTGTTGCATCATCTCACAGCCCCCACCCTGCCTTCCATCGTCTCCTCTTGATTGTCCCATCTCCAGTGGAAGGGTTTTCTTTCCCCACGTTCCAGATGCACCCTTTTAGTCACAACTGCATCCCAGTTGCATCCTTTACATCTTTCCTGCATCCCTGTCTTCAGCCCTCTCCCTGACAACTTTCTATCTCCATATCCTCCACCTTGCTCTGGGGCCCGAGCTGATCTCTGCAGATTGAAGTGCAGAGGAGAGCAGGGCATCTCCTTTCAACCAGCAGCCTGTTCCCTAAGTCCTCAGCCACCCCCAGGTTTGTTGCTCTGGCTCGCACTTCCTCCTTGGAATCACTACAGCCCGCTCTTTCTGTCTGCCAGCTGCTGGACATCTTTGTTGGGCGATGGGCTTTAGCTCAGGGAGATGAAGAGAGCAGGTGCATTAGGGACAGGACATGCATTTGCACAAAATAATGGTGGTGTGGCTGTTAACAGGCAAGAACAGGTTAAAAGCAAGCATGAAGGCGAGCATGGCAGCACCAGTGCAAGGCCAAGCTTCTGAAATGTTTGTGCCTTGCACGTGATGAAAGCATGAAAGAAAGCGCTCCTTCATTTTGACACTCATTTGACTCCCATTTCTGGATCCTGTAACTCATGTGAGGACAGATTCCCTGTATTCCTCCAAATACATCCATGTTTCTGCCACGGTGTGAATGGGAGGTAGGGGAGGGTTGTCTGTATGTCCGGGGAACCACTTCGCAAAAAAAAAAAAAAAACAAACCAGAAACTCTCACTTTTTTTGGTCCATGAAACAGTCATTTCTACTTGTTAGCAAGGGTCTGCTTATACCCATGCAACGGGAATCAGTTTCTCCTTTCTAGCACCTAATAAATTGTGATGCTTTTATTATTTTTCCCCTTTGCTGCTTGCAGGCAGTGGTTGTGTTGCTATGCACCATCCTTCAGAGCAAAACCAAATTCTGTGTGTAATAACTTCCCCCCTCCCTCAAATGACATCAGATGTCCAAACTCCCTTTAATCAGCTAAAAACAGCAAAGCTGAGCTTGGTTTTTGGAAGGGTAGCTGTAAGATATGAGGGTTGGGAGCCGACCTGCACAGGGAGCAGAGGGTGAGGCCAGGAACCACGTTCCTGCTGGGGAGCCCAGGAAGCTGGGCAGTAACCACTGTCAGCAGAGATAGGCCAAGTATCCCGGAGTGCGTCATCCTGGTGTTTATTTACTCTGCACGTGTGTGTGCGTGGCCAGGGGCAGGCAGTGTGGTCGGGAAGGCAAAGCCATGCAGCTGAATCCCAGCAGGAGAGCGGGGCCCATCCCTGCGCCTGTGCTGAGGGTGCCTCATACAGGCACCTGAAAAAGCTTTGGCGCCTGGCTCCCAGCATGAATATCCTTCCGTTTCACCTGCCTCTCGCACTTCCCAAGGAAACTGGTCCTTTAGCAGGTGCTTTGTGTGAAAACTTTAGCCAGGGCCCTTGTAATTCCACTGCTTTTGATTTTCTTGGGATTCAACACCCATTGAATGAACAAGGAGAGGGACAGGAAAGCGGTGGCAGGTGTGTCATGCAAACCAACACCATGGCACTACCTGTGCTTCCAGTTTGGACTCCCCAAGTGCCGCAGGGGCCTCTTTTCGACAGGTTTTGTTTGCAGACAGCAGATGAGCCTGGATTGGAAAGGCTGCTGCAAGAAGCCACAGGAGACCAGCAGGCTCCTCTTGAGATTTATGCAATTGCAAATAGAAATAAAAAATAAATCAGGAATTCCTGAGGATGGGATAGGGGAAAAAAAAGTCACTTGGCATTCGACTGGTAGTGTGTGAGAACAAAGTATATTTTCATAGGCATGTTTCTAAGCAACAGGGCAAGAAAAGAAATTAAGTTTGACTTGAACTTTCTGGCCTCTGCCAGTTTGGCGAGCAGCACAGGGACCGTGCACTGGGGAAGCTGGCCTGGCCCTTCCATCTATCAATGACCAAAATTGGCCCTGAGCTGCGAACCGCTGAGAAAAAATCAGCACTCTGCAAAATAAACTATGTGACAGTGGTGAGGACTAGATCAAACTGCATTTCTATCTATTTCTGCCCTCGTGCTAGCCAAGTTTAAAATTGCAGATGCTTTCCTCCTTACGGACAAGGTAGAAATGCATTGAGCAGCACTGCAAGAGCCAGAGCCTGGGAGGCCAGGCTTAGCTCTCCTGTAGAGCAGATGTCTTGCCTGGAGACAAGATGCTTGCAGGTAGCATGCCTCGGTTTCTTCACATGTATGCTGGGCAGCGTTACTGAGGAATGCTAGAGGTAATGAGCAGAATGTCCTCCTGGTTTGTTCAGAGGTCTGAAATGAAAGCAAGTGTGGGATTAAAGAGCCTTAGTAGGACTTGTTTTAAGTAGATGGGTTTGTAGGTACTGACAGGATGGTCCCTGTAGTCCTTCCTCCCACAACAGTCAGACACTGTCCTTTACTGAAAGCCAAACATCACATCTGCAATTGACTGTTCCTGGTTAAAAAAACATGAATGAGCTTCATTTATGGCACAGGCTGCAGGATTCTGGGGTTTCTCTGTTTTGTTTAGGTTTCCTTTGAAATATACCATGTCTTTCCATTTTTCTCCCCTGTGCTCCTGCCAGACTTCCTCCTGCTGAGACAGCAAGGTCAGGCTGAGCATCAGGGAGCGGAGGGCACAGATTGGAGCCTGCTGCCCTAAAAACGTTCATGGAAAAACAAAGGTTGTCAAATATTTCCTTCTCTCTCATTCCTGCTCTCTTTCTAGAAAGCGAGCAAGACTTGGCAAGTTTCCTTATGAAACCGTGAGCCAACGATAACCAGGAGGGGAAAGGGGAGGGTTTGCAGAATTAGCCCTAAGAAAATCATCTTTGCAGCGTCAGCTGAAAGGTGGAGGAGGAGGAGTGCTGCCGAGCCGAGCCCAGACTTCCTGCAGCTTGTGTTTGGTGCTGTCCTTTGTTGCTCCCCAACATATTTTCCCCCACCCCATTCCCCCTTCCCGTAGTCGCCTGCTCTGCATTTGTGGATGCTGGTTTCAGGGGTGAGCAGAGGGGATGTGGCGAAGCAGGTGAGCAGCTCCATGCCGAGCTCTGGGATGAGGGTGAGGGGCAGGGGACATGGGAGCAGGGTGCTTGGGATGTGCTGGCTTCTTGTGCACATGTCACTCTGGGAGGGACCCGGCTGGTGCGAGCGGCAGGTCCATTGTGCGAAGCAGCTCCGAGCTGTCAAGGTGAAAGCTAGTATCAACAGGCCTGCAAAACCTCAGACACAAAACAGGAAAATCTCCATTTTTCTTTTGATCTGGAGTTTCAATAACAATATATTTAAAAAAAAATAGAGAGTGAAATCCATCAGGTGCCAGCAAGAGAGCTGGGTTTCTGCGGTGTGTGTGTACGGGGGAGGAAGGGATGGGGTGGTTCAAACAGGAAAGGAGGGGCCTTGGCTGGAAGGATTTTTCAGCAGCCTGGTTTCTAAGGAAGGAGAGAGAATATTAAGTAGTTGATCCAAATGAAATTCCTGCCGAGTGCCAGCAGAGTTCACCGGAGAAAAGACGTGGCTCTGTGCGTGCGTGCGTGCGTGCATGAGTGATAGAGCTGGCCCCGAGCTTCCACACAGCCCTGGACCCACTCCAGGTCAGTGCAAGGAGAGCTTGCACCACCACAGCGGAGAGCAGGGGCTGGTCTCAAACGGGAGCCTCTGCAAACTTGAGGGATGCTGGAGGAAGCCATTGTGCCTCCTTGTGTCATACTTAAGCAGCAGCAGCAGCATCCTGAGCCCAGATGATCGTCGCGGCTTTGGCACGTCAGTGACTTGAGCACAGTCATGTGCGACTGGAAGCGTTTGCTTCACTGCGGGGTGTCCCCTCAGGCTTGACAAAAGGGAGCAGGAAAGAGTGGGTACCTTCTGTGCCAGCTTCAAGGCATCCCCCAGTGTCTCCTGTCGCTTAGTTCGTCACACGTGTCAGGGCAGAGGAGGAGGAAGAGGAGGAGAGGCGGCACCCGGCGCTGCCGCACGCGGTGCGCGGTGCTCTGCTTCCTCCTAACGACGGCTGGAAGCGCTGCTCGCCCTGGGCCCGGGGAGCTGCAGATGCAGGAGCAGTTTCGGGAGCTGCTACAGCAGCAGCGTTTCCCTAAACTCTTCACGCATGAAAATCCTGGGAGCAGCCTGGGAAG